GTGCTTGGGGATAATCTGAAGGATGTATCCAGAAAGTACTTGGAGATATATATATATGGAATTTAGGACTCAATGGGCTGCTGATATGGATGTAGGAATCATCAGTATATGTGTGGTTGTGGATGCAAAATATGTTCATGAAATCACACAATATATTGCTTGACCTCTTCCATTGTAGCTTTATTCATCACTTCCACTGTGCATTCTGTTTTAGCTCTACTGTTAATCATATCAGTACAGAAAACCTCACACTTCTAAAGCTTTACTCATGCTGTGGTTTTGTCTGAATTGTTTTTACTTTCTCTACCAGATAAACTCTTACTAATCCTTTAAAGACCAGCTTAGACCAACTTCTTTTGTGAAGTGCTTCCCCAAATACAATTCCCAACCCAACCAGAATTGATCCTTCTTTTTTCTGAGAATTAATTCTAAAAACTACTCAAGTTTATCTTCATACAGTTCTCTGTGTTTGAACCTTTAGCTAGGGGGTTTTTCAGGCAGTCAAGCATGGTGAAGTTAGTTGTTTTGCGGTATTTTATTTTGTCTTGTTTTGCTTTACTTATATCGATTTTTCTCCTACATTCAGCAACTACATTCAACTGTGAGGATTCTGTCTACCTCACTGACCCTCACTTCAGGAGCAGCCATATTTTCTGTAATAGGGCAATTCCCTTATCTCCACAGTCTGTATATTTGAGCTCACAAAGCTCTGTTTGAAGTCAGTCTGAGTCTCCCACTTGGAAGCAAGATGGCCACTGAAAGAGAATGTAAACTAAAGCCCTTCACAGGAAACTCATTTAAAAACCTAGTACATCTTCCTGTGCACCTGGTTCTAGTAAAAAGCAACCTAAAGGATTTACTTTCAATTTATTTGTTATTATAAATGAATCCTAGAATTAAAATAAGCAAATGGGTAATTTTTACTTTTTAAGGAGTATCACTGAAGTTTATTTATATGATAGTTATTTTACCTTTCTTCCACTTTTATTTCAAGGATTTTTAAATGTTGCTACTGTGTTTTTCTTTCTTTATGTCAGATTTAAAAAAAAAACAACATTCTCATTGTAGGTATTAAAGTAGCATTAGGTCTTGAATGTGAGGAGCTATTAAACATGGATAGATATTAAAACAAACAAATTTTGGGAATATTTTAATGGTTTGTCAACCACCTTTTGATTTTTATCAAATGAATGTTGTCCAGAATTCTAAACCATTTCCCCCTCTCTTTTAGAGCACTGGCGTGCACTAAGTATCTTGGCAATATACACTGGTATCCACCAACACATACACCAGACATCCATTTGCACGACGTGATTTATAAATACCTTTTTCTTTTGCTGAAAGAAGGAGATGGTCCATAGGAACCCATCCAACTATGAATGGTCAGCTCAGGCCTACTCCCTACCTATTCAGAGAGGGGTATGGGCAGAAGCTAAAGGGGCTGTTTAATGAGGAAACTTATGACAATGTAGACATGAGCTCATAGCCTTAGGAACCAGAGGCCAAAGCACCCTGCAGAGCTTGGGGAGAGTATTCTTCCTTTAGTCCCTGAAGCTTTGGCACTCAAAGAGCCAGTGTCTGGCCCTCCTCAAGAGGATTCCAAGCAGTGGGGTCTCAAGTGAAAGAATGTCTCTCCAGAGACGGGGGGTGGGGAGAAGACTTGAAGTTGTCTGTGGTCTTGCAGTTCTGCACATGGTGGCTGAGATCCAGTGAACTGACTCGATCTCATTTATACCCTCAAACTGCAGAGTAATCAAATGATTGATGTGTTTCTAAACTGTGGTGACTCACCTTATCTTGGTTCTGGCCCAAACTGGAAACCTTAGTGTTAGATTTGTTGGTCTTTGTTACCTCTGATCAAACTTGGGGGAGCTCTACAAAGTTGGTTAATTCCATTTTGGATATTAATTTAAGCTTCCAAAATCCTATTAAAAATAAGACCTCTTAGGAAATATTAGTCTTGACCCTTTTGATTGGGAAGAAGTCACACAGAATAAAAGGAACATCATAAGACTGAAGGAGCTGATCTTATAGGACCTGAGGGAAAGAACTGATCCTCTGAACCAGATATGTCCCTCAAGAAGCAAAACTAATTTGGAACCTTTCCTTTGTGATGATGAAAGCGCCACGTTGCTGAAATGTACAAAGGGGAACTGCCACATGCATAATTTACTTTAGAAGTTGTTAAAAAGTTGATTCTTTTAAAAATGTTTACTATGGGCTAGATAATGTGCTAACCACTACATAAATTATTACTTTAGTCTGCACAATATCTAAGTAGTAGTACCATACCTATTGTATAGGTGAAGTGTAAGGAACTTGCCTGAGATCATTTTGTTAGTAAGTAAGTGGCAAAATAGATATTTGAATCAGGTATATCTGACTCTTAAACTCATGCTTTTAATCATAAAACAAAATTATGTTTGTAAGGAAAAGCAGGCAGAGTTTTGAAAGCTCTAAGTCACTGTCATGATTTGCATTACTGCAAAGCATTCTGATTTGGAAAGTTGAATGGTGCAAAAGCCAGAATGTGATATAAATACTGAGTGACAAATCAACCTCCCTGACTGTCTGAACATTCTGTCACACTGGGCCTTAATTTATGTCCCTGTGCACTATGCAACTGAAGAAAAGAAGAGCTAGTTTTCAGAAAATCTGTTTGCATTGTTGGCTATAGTCAGTTTACCTCTCCTCTCCTTTCCGAAGCCTTTGCTAGGTTGCAGCTCTTGCAGTGGTCTCTCCCTCCCTGCCTTTCTTCCACACTCATGATGGGTACAGTTGACTTGGCAACCAGTTGACACCGCCTTGTGATGAATTCTTGATTTGAAATTACGTATTGTTTAAATGTCAGTGTGCTCATTTCTCTTCTCCCCGTTGGGGCAACAGCCCCCAGGAGGGCAGAAACCATAGCTTATACTTTTTAGAAACCAACTCAATAGTTGCCTGTGCGCAGTGCGTTGCACAGAGTCAGGAATACTATCTACCACACTGTTCAGCAATTTTATAATGATTTCAATACATATGCAGCCTTAGTTAAATCAGATCTTAGCATGTTTTTCATTTAGAATGAATCTTTCAGGAGCCCCTCTCAGTGAGTATTTCCATCATCACCTTCTTTGGGAATTCTTTTTTCTTTTTTTTTTAAATATATATTTTATTGATTTTTTACAGAGAGGAAGAGAGAGGATAGAGAGTTAGAAACATTGATGAGAGAGAATCATTGATCAGCTGTCTCTTGCATACCCCCCACTGGGGACGTGCCGGCAACCAAAGTACATGCCCTTGACTGGAATCGAACCTGGGACCTTTCAGTCCGCAGACTGACACTCTATCCACTGAGCCAAACCGGTTTCGGCTTTCTTTGGGAATTCTGTTTATGCTAGTTTATCAAGTCCAAAGTTTTTTGTTTTTTTTTCTCCTTCTTTTGCCTGCATTCTCAGTCTGAAGTGTTTCTTGCCTGCAGCATCTTCCTAAAATTCTCTGTTGTTGCCTGTCCCTCCTTTTCTTTAGGTGAGAACCCAGCATTTTGCTCTATTCCTACCCATTGGCTCCTTCCCTGAGAGGCAGGCGGCAGGATAAACAGAATAATCTGGGACTTGGAGTCACATGTGGCTGAAAATTCTATCTGCACGTAGGGAAATTTAGCTGAGCCTCAGCTTTCTGGTTTCAAAAGAGCTAGTTCATTTCTTCAGCAAATACTTTTGAAGTTCTAGTGTACTAGTAAGTGAATGTACTAATAATATGTAATATGTAATATGTTAATAACATCACAAAAATATGTTGAATTTATCAGACACAGACCAGCTATCATTACAAGTGAAATATATTAACGGTGGCAAATAATGTCTATGCTTCCCATTCATTCATGCATCCGGAGCCTCTCCATGCCAGCTCCTGGCATTCCCAGTAGGGGACAAGTTCCACACAAGCACATACTTGCATAACAACAAGGACTGTGTACAGTGTGTAGTGTTTTGATCACATATAAGGCAGTTTAGATTTAAAAGTCAGTAGAGTTGTTATTATTCTTGCTGTACTACACTCATTAATATCTCCTGGACAAATGTAGTTTGGAAGACATTGTCCTAGTATGCTTGTTTTCATTTACATAATTTCAGTTATCACCTGCTAAGCCATAAATCTAACATCCTGCAAGAAAATTTACCTTGATATTGCTAATTTGGACAGTATTCAAATTTGCATTCCCACAGTTTCTGGCCATCAGAGTGAGTATGTACTCAGGGAGAAATGGTGGAAGGGAGGGAGGAAGCAGGGAATCTTACTGATTCTTACAACATTTCTGTAAATTTGATGTTTATCGTGAAAGTGATAAAAGGCCAAGTTCACAAAATCATTTAGCATAAAATTCCTAGTTTAAGTTAAATACGAGTATAACTTGGATGACTGAAGTGAGGGGTTAGTAGAGATAAAACAGGTTTTCTAGTGAGATTTAGCAAGTAGGAAGTGTGCTTTTAAAAAACATACTCTGAGACTACAAAAATAGTTATATAATTTTAAGATTACATATAGTCTAGACGTACTCTTTTGCTACATTTAAAATTTTGTAAATTGCCAATTTATTTTCTTATTTCCCCTCACTCTTGGGTTTCATTTTTCTTGGTGCCAAACATCTAGTCTGATCGGTTAAGGGGAGATGGCTGGGAGGGTCAGTGGAATTTATTATGGCACTGCGCTGGCATTCTAATTTGTGTCATTATCTGACTATCTACTTTATGTCTGCCCGCTTTGGGGCCTAAATACGATCTAGAGGTGCTCTCTGGATCATAGAGAATCTATCATTTGATCATTTTACATTATAGCAGGTAAGTCTTTTTGAAGAAGATTCTAATAATTGCCCCGCTATTGTTCTGTGACTAATATCACTTATTCCTTTGTAATGAGGATAGATAGTCGGGCTTTCAGTGTAGTTTTATAGGGTTTGCTTTCAAGCAAGCTTATGTTTCTCTCTTTTCTTTCTGCCTGCCTTGGTGTCCTGATAGTTTCAAAGAAAGCATGGAGAAGTCATCATACTCCGACTGGCTGATAAATAATAGCATTGCGGAGCTCGTGGCCTCCACAGGCCTTCCCGTGAACATCAGTGATGCCTACCAGGACCCGCGCTTTGATGCTGAGGTAAGAGGAGTCCTCTTCCCCAGGAGTCTAAAGGTTCAGTTTTCACTCTGTTGATGGTTTTCTGGCTGAAGCAGAAAAGGGACATCATACAGATTGACAGCAACCCCAGAGTTTACCGGCATTCTTTTGCATTGTTCCCCTCTGATTGGATTGTGTGCATTGCCTACGGTTGATTGACAGGAAACTTCCTCTCTCCACCCTGATTTGTGGCAAAGTGGCAATTAATCTATTAATGTGATGGTCTTTTATGATTTGGTACATTTTATTTTAGATGTACCCATAGTCTTGTACCCATGCATATTTTATATTAATCATAATTTGTATTAAACTATGAAATAGTTAATAATAAAAATGTGTATATAACATGGTTATTTCCCAACACATACTAGAACAACTACTGTATTTTTAAAAATTGTTCCTAAGCAATAGTAAATTGGTTTGTTATTGTTTAATGTTAATCATTGTGCTGATATACAGAATAGAAACGTAAGTGGTGACCAGAAGGCCAATCATTGTTCTTTTTTTCTCATGAAAACAGCCATATAGCTAGCATAATTAATATCTCAAGAATACCTCTTGCTAATACAATGTGGTGAGCTTGAATGTACCACATCCTTATGTCTATCTATAGGCAGACTCTTACCACATCTCTTCCTGATTAGTGATGCAGCTTTTTACATTTTCTCCACACTTTGCAGTCTATTCCAATAAGGGAGACTGCCCAATGATCCATAGAACCAACAGTATGGACTGTTGAGCAAAAAGGCAACAATTATTTCTGTGGGATTGAGCATAAAAATTTCATGCCCTGATCCAGTCATTAGAAGCAATGATGTCTGAAAACAGTAAACTGTAGTAGCTAAAGCAGTGACTACTTTATAAAATCACATTCTACTCTATGATAAAATGTGTATTTATTTTAGACCGTCATTATTTCTTGGTTTTCTACCTATGTACTTTCCATCTACCACACAGCTAACACTAGATTTTAAATGAAAATCTTAAGGAGTATTATATCATGATTTTTACATGATGTGTTTGGATGGTACTTGAATTTAAAATTATTTTATGTTTCTCTTCTTATGCTGAAGAAAAAAAAGGAAAGGAATTTTTCTTTTAAAAAAAAATATTTTATTGATTTTATACAGAGAGGAAGGGAGAGAGATAGAGAGTTAGAAACATCGATGAGAGAGAGTCATCGATCAGCTGCCTCTTGCACACCCCCTACTGGGGATATGCCCGCAACCAAGGTACATGCCCTTGACCGGAATCGAACCCGGGACCCTTCAGTCCCCAAGCCGACGCTCTATCCATTGAGCCAAACCGGTCCCGGCAGGAAAGGAATTTTTCAATATAACTGGAGAGGAGAGAAGGGAGAGGAGAGTGAGAGAGGTGTGGTATTTAGTAGATCTGTCCTATAAATGTGTGTATGTGGTGTGCTTGCTTGTGTGTGTGTGTGTGTGTGTGTGTGTGTGTGTGTGTGATGTATCACACCAGAAAAATCAAAATTATTTACTTGCTTAGGCTGTCTTTCTTCTCAAGTATATTTTTCCTCAGTAACAAATGCCAGCTGCTTATTTTAATAATGAATGAAATGGACTTCAGACTGATCCACAGCCCTCCCCAAGAGGCTAAAAGGATAAAACCTTCTCTGCACAAAGCCTGATGGTATAGAACATGAAATAAAGACAACCATTTCAGATATGTTTTTTATTAGCATGTTATTTCCCTTGAGATATAAAAACACCATGACAAAATTTAATTGACTTATTATTTCACTAAAACTAATTCTGAAATCATCAAGGAGACAGAGGGTACCTTTTAGAACTATGTTATCTCCCTGCAAAGGTTGTGTCCTCTCTTCTGGTGTCTGGGACATGAGTTCATATTTTCCCCAGTAATCATTATCAAGTCATTATTTATCAGTGGTAGAACATAAGGGTACAGTTTTGTGTTTTAAATCCAAGGTTGATGACTAATTGTTATCTCCGCTGGGGAAAGCATTTGCTTTTTTGTTCTCTGCACTCACTGACTTCCCTGAATAGTTTGCACTTGGTTATCAAGAATGATAATTTGCAGAGAGGTAGCATGGGAAATCCTTTTCAGAGTATTTCTTGTTTTTTCCTACTGGTTTTCTATACACAGACCTAGATAATGCCAGAAATCCAATTACCCTGAACACTGGTATCTGTGCTAAATTTCTCACTGGCTCAATGCTAATTCTGGCAACCTGAATTTTCTTTACTGAGCAGAAAGAAGGAATCCAATTCATCAGGCAATGCAGTGACTTGGAATAGAACACAAAAGTGGGCTGGCCATATCCTGAGGTTTCTTATTATAGATACAAAAACTTTTAGTTAATAGAAATATTAGAGATTTCTTTAATTCACCAGAGCTGAAGTGAGCTGCCTAAGGCCACACAGCTTCTTTGAGGCAGGGCACAGAATAAACTGCACCTCTGGTTCCTAATTCAGTTCTTCTCTGAGTAGCCTTTTGGGAGCATCTGCTGCTGAGGGTTGCCTGGCAGTAGAGTGACCACCCTTCCTTCCTCTCTCCATACAGGCACATGAACTAAGGCTGGCAGACCTACCTTTTGGTCCTGTCTGCTCCACTTACCAGCCGAAAAATTGTGGACCTACTGCTTGCACACATACTGTAGCATGTAAAATTCTGCATACATATTTTGTAAACCATGGAGTCCTGTATGAATATCAGGCGAAGATATTGGTCTGGTTGAGGACTAGTGTTTTAGTTCCAGGATCTAAAAGTAGACCCTTTCCTCTGCCTGAGGGGCCTAACCCAGAGCTGCAGACCAGCCGAATTTGAATAATGGACGAGCCAACTTCAATGTCCCCTTCCTCCAGAGACATGGAGGAAGAGAAAAGTCGCTGCACGAAGACAGTGAGGGTAATTGTTTGTTGACAGTAAAGAAGGGATGGTGGCAATGATCTGACAGCCCACAGGACTTCAGGGGGGCTAGGTCTCCTCTTTTCTGGTTAGAGAAGGAGCGATGGCAGATATCCACATGTGGTTAAGGCTGGATGTATGTCCCGTGGCCTTGGCTGCCTTGGGAAGATGATCACCAGATCCTACCTTATAGGGGCAAACGATATGCAGACCTGACTCTTCACAAGAGTGGTCAGGCATCCAAGGGTCAGGTTACCTGGGCAGATCGGGGTGATCAAGCTTAGGGGCCAACTGCACTGCCCAGCCCCAAGCAACCCACCAATCCTTTAAACATGTAGCTGAAAGCCAGTCACACTGGTTTATTTCAAACACAACTCTGGTGCCTACATTCAAACTACTGTGTCAGTCAATGCAATGGACAAACTCCAAAATCTGTGATTTAATACATTAGAAGTTTAATTTTTGCTCATGTTAAAGCCCAGGTGGATATTCCTGATCAGTGGCAGCTGGTAGGCTTTCCCTTCTCCAGTAATGAAATTGCTCAGCAGCAGTTATGAATGACTTGCCCCGTGGACCATTTCGTAGATTCTCCCAATCTCCAACTGCAGGTGCTAAACCCAGTACATCCTCATGTACATTTGGTAGTTTCTTCTCCAATTTCAACGAACACACCAAGCTTGTCAGTTGGGGGATTCATGATGTCAGTAACTATTTTCTGTTAATAAGAGATAATTTATTCTATCAAGCTTTGCTTTAACTGTACAGATATTTCCAATTTCTGTGAATTTTCAGCCTTATAATAACTTCTCTGAAGCTTTGCCCCAAAATATGCAGCACGAGAATGATCTTTATTTTGAAATCTCAGTTTTGAAACTGTTGTTCTTTCTTTTGATAAAAGCTACACAGGAATGTTTTAATGTGATATAAAGCTCATCCCAAGTGCTGTCAGATGCTTGCTGTGAGGGCTCTGGGGCAAGTAATCATAGTTATCCACCTGCTGGGTGTTCTCTTTGTGGCTGTGTTAAATATTTAATGGAGTCCTCTCCTTGCGGTGAGCAGAGCGACTTAGAGGGCGAACCACAGTGATTACTTGCCTGCTGTCTGGCTGTTCAAGTTGACTCTTAGTAGTAGTACCTGCTGGGCTTGATAACATACATGGTTTTATAGCCTAGCTCCTTAGTTTATGTGTGGAAAATTATGACAGAATGGTTATATAAGGATAGTCACAGACTGAAACTAAATTTCTGAGTTTTAAATTTTGCAACATTATGAAGATCAGAATATGTTTATTTTGTTGTAAGAATTTGTGATCCTTGAAAAGCATAGAAGATGAAAATGATCTATTAAATATAAACTGATTATATATACTTATAGTGGCTTAAGAAACACATGTTCATGAGTTATCTTGTTCATAGGTATTGTAGTTTTATTGAACATTTGCTCCTTGGGAGGGAGTATCCATGCTTTAAAATTTTAAGTCACATATCACAACTCTGCTCACAAACGCTGCAAAGTCTCTTTACTAAAGTAGCAGCCATATTTATAATTCTTTCAGAGGCTTTCAGTGTCCTACACAATCTGGTCTCTGATTATCCACAACCAGCCCTTTCTCATACTTCTCCAGCCATACTGGTTTCCATGTAATTCCTAGAACATGCGGCTCACACACCTACCTCAGGGCCTTTGCACTGGCTTACTCCTTCAACTGAAATACTTTTACCCCAATTGCTGCATAACTCCCACCCTCACCTCTTTAAAATCACCATTCAGATGTTATTCGTTAGTAAGGCTTGACATCCTTGATATTCCTAATCCCTTTTATCCTGCTCTATTTCCACCCCTTAATCCCAAACACCTTCTAACATATAATTTACTTATGTACTTTTTGTATTGTTTACCATCTGTCTTTCCTCATAGAAGGTAAACTCAATGAAGGTCAGGATTTTGTCAGTTTTGTTCTCTGATGTGTCACTAATAACTAGAACAATGTTTAGTATATAATAAACATTATCATTGAATATTGTTTAGTTTTATTGAATATGTTATCTATATTACTAATAAATATATTAAATACTATGGGGCTATCATGACTCAATGGTTAAGCATTGACCTATGAGCCAGGAGGTCACAGTTCAATTCCCAATTGAGGAATATGCCTGGATTACGGGCTTGATCTGCAGTGTGGGGTGTGCAAGAGGTAGTCAATCAATGATTCTCTCTTATCATTGATGTTTCTATCTCACCTCCCTTCCTCTATGAGATCAATAAAAATATATTTTTAAAATACAGATTTAAGTACTATTAAACGTAGAATAACTTGGTGTAGAACATATTTTAATATATATGTAGAAAAAGATAAGGAAGAAGTTATAACAAACTGCTAATAGTTGTCTTTTCTAGAGATGGCAAGATCAGTGCTTTTGATTTTATTTTTACTTAAAAATTTCACAAGTGTTTATGTTATTTTTGTGTAATCAGGAAAAATTATAAAGATGCTTTAAAATGTTAGCCCTTTTATATTTTATATTTTACCAAGCTATCATGAGCCCTCTAAAAACTATAAACAATTATTAAAAGCCAGAGTTGAAATAACGTTAAGATTTAGGTAAATTAAGTTGCCTTGCTATATCCTTAGGGATTCAAGTAGATTACTTTCTCTTGCTTTTGCCAACATGGAGTGTTGCTTGGATATTATTCTAAGATCCTTGTCTAAAATGTCCAAATAGCATGCACATAAAGTACATTTGCAGATGACCTGCCATTGCATCAGGAGGCTTCTTTTAGTGCATACGCTATTTACAAATATCTTCACCATGAGGCAATTATTCTGGCCTTGTTTAGTTGGCATTGTGCTTGAGAATTCAATAGTTAGCTGTGCTCCAGAACATCATCTGTGATCTGTAAAAATTTCTGCTCTTCTTTTCTATTAGATTCAAAACAACACCTTAAAACAATACACTAATGCACAGCAAGCCATTATTTAATCAACACAAGGTACAATATTCTACTTCTTAATTTAACATTTCCTTCCATTAGTGTAGCGATGAAGAGAATTTCAGAACCATTAAATGAAGGGTTTGTTTTCTGCCTGTAACAGGAATGAATAATTGGACTCAACAATTAAATGGGAAAGGTGCAGCCAGGGGAATGGCAAAATATAACTAAAAAGTAGGGCAGGCTTTGTGCGTGAATGGCTTGGCAGTCTATGTATGTGTCACAAATTCAGCAGTGGGTAACCCATCACTGCCTAGTTCTCCTCTGCCATGGTGGCCAATGCCCAGAGTTACACAGTCAAATCTGAGGTATTATGATCTTAACTCTGTCATTCTTCAGTCATAGACAGTTCTTCCATATGAACTTCTTTCCCTGACCTTTTTGTTAAAGCCTGTTATAGACAACTCAATAGGTCTTACCCTTACGTGAGCACTTAAGGATAATGGGGCTACGATCTCTGAGATTATCCAACATAGAGAATTAAAGTCCATTTCGCCTGTCAGATCTTAATAGGAAAATATCCCCGCAATTTGGGATACTGAATACTAGCCTTGCAGGACAGTTCAGTGTCTACTAGAGGCCCACTGCACGAAGAGATTCATGCACTAGGCCTTTCTTCCCTTGGCTTCCAGCGCCCAGGCCTTTGCTCCAGCCAGAGTCTAGCCAGAGTCTGCCACCTTCGTCTTCACCGCAGACTGCAGCTGGAGTCTGCCATCTTCATTTTTGCTGCAGACTCTGGCCAGAGATCTTTGCTGCAGACTCCAGCCAAAGTCTGCCGTCTTTGCTGCAGTCTGCAGTCTGGTCCTCGCTATGGTGGAAGTGTCGCTCCTGTAGATTCCTTCACCACCACTCCATCCACCTCCCTCTCAGAGCACGCATCCCCCCTTCTCCTCCCCGGCCACTCCATTCCTGGAACAGCTGGGCAGTCACCATCTTTGTCTTTCTAATTTGCATATTCCCTCCTATTGGCTGGTGGGTGTAGGGGAGGTATGGTCAGTTTACACATTTGCCTATTATTGGGAAAGATTCTTTGTAACACCTTCATAATGCCTTCTGGTCACCACTTATGTTTCTATTACAAAGGGAAAGGCACACAATTGATACCAGTCAGAGTTAGAGCTCTGTGGATCTGTTGAAATGCATTTGCAACCAATAATTTCCCAGTTGCTGATAATTAGGATGGGCCAGTTTGAGATTCTTTCCAGAAAGTAGGTAGGGTATGGTAGAGAAGATTGGACAGTGGATGTAAGAGTTCCAGATGACCAGGAGGGTGAGGAAGCTTAGGGGGATTACTGATATGTGAATAGAATATAGAATGGGGTAGTTGTGGGTGATGAAGATAAATAGGAGTCCCGTAGTTCTAAGAGTCAAACAAATTTTGCTGCATAGGTTGTGGAGACAGTGACCTTTCTAAGCCCAAAGGTCAGTTGTTATTTTATTCTAGGAATGCTCATGTCAGGAACTTGTAGGCATTGTTCTAGGAGCCATTAGGATTGATCTCATGGGCCGGTAAGGTGGGCAAAAAGAAACCGCTTCTCTATTGTTTCAAGGAAATCAAATGACTCACTGAAAACATCTCTCTCAGCTTGTTCCAGTGCCATAATTTCTCTCCAGTAGATAGGCATTTGGAGGATAAAGTTTTGTTTGAGATTATTGTTAAAGTTGTACATATCCCTAGGGAAAGGAAACATATTGCATATTAATAAATTATCATCAATTAATTTAACATTTTCTTTAACTACCTTTGAGAGCCTGGAAAATAAGACAACTATGTTTTGATGGCTCCTAGAGATAAACCATCTTTAATTAGACCCATTAACTGGGAAACTGCACTGATTTTTGGTTTAAAAAATATATCTTTCATTTTACCGACAGTCTAAGCTTTGCCATCCTCACCACCAGCCTCTCAAACTGTCTCTGTCCTTGTTTATCTCCGTTACTGCATTTTCCCTTTCTTCTTTCCTCAGCTGCTTAAGATTTCCTAATGGAGGTTAGACAGAGCCTACAGTTGTCCTACAGTCGACAGAGGCAATTGTGCCTACTGTTCAGTGCTGGTTCAGGACCACCAACAATCGTGTATGGCTCTCAGTAAAACAAAACAGACCCAAGACATTCTAGTGCTGCTCTGGCTAGCCCAAGACTATACATTATGCCTTCCAGATTCCTCTAAAATTGACTTCCTTCTCCTCATGCTCACTAGCATTGCTGTAATGTAGCCATTGTCCTTAGGGAGCGGGGCGGGGGGGGGGGTGTACCCCCACTTTGTTCTTATAGAAGATAAAGTTGATGGATGTGTTTGTTATCGTCTGGCTTCCTTTGAGCCAGTCTCTCCATTTTCTAGGTAGTTGATTTCTCTAAGTCTTATCTGATAAGTATATGAGATATTTCATGTGAAAACTGTAAACAGGTATCATGCCTGGAGCGAACATCCAGTAAATCTTAGCTTATAATCATCATTGTCTTTGGTATGGGGATTTTTGTTGATTCATACTTGGTTAGGGCTTGGTTTCCTTGTGAGGTTTTAAACTAAAAGAGATAAGTATACATTAAAAATTAAATTATAATGTGTTTTTAAAAATATTATTTTAAAATACTTGTTATGAAGAGCAGAAGAGAGAAATGAGTACACGATGTTTAATTTCAATTAACTACTTTTATATCCTAGGCTGACCAGATATCTGGTTTTCACATAAGATCCGTTCTCTGCGTACCTATTTGGAATAGCAGCCACCAAATAATTGGTAAGACATCACCTAAATGTTCAAACACTTTTTTAAGAAATAAAAATTTAATTTAAAATATATCCGTTTTTTTTTTTTTTTTATGAATGCCCCTTTTTTATGCCTAGGATTCATCAACCTATGTCTCATACTCTTGTGTAATCTTCTAAGTGCAGACTTCTGATGAATCTACCTTAATCCCATCAGTGAACAAACATCTGTTCTTTAAATAAGAACCAATATTTTTGAAGTTGGAGGGGAATCTCAGAAAGTAACTAATAGGATTCTTTTACCTCAACCTTTGGAAACTAAGGCAGGGCAGGGGGCTGGCTGCAAAGATGAATAAAATCACAGAGTGAGTTGGTAGCAGGGTTAAAACTAAAACTCGAGCCTCCTACCTCCTAGGACAAGCTTTCCTACAAACATCTACATATTTATATCTATGCGTTTACACATGGACTAAATGCAAAGAAAGAAGGAACATGAATTACTAGACACATGCTGAACATACATCCTTCTGTCTAGATGATTCAGAAATAAGCTCCACTTTCCCCAGAATATGGGAATTGTGGACCAAAGCAGCTTCCATTTCTTCTCTCCCTCCTTGCTCCCTTCTATCCCTTCAAAAATCCAGTCAGGAAAACATTACATCTAAGAAGGAAGTCTAGCAAGAAGAGGTCTGTGATTAAAGTAAAGAAGTTGTGAAGGATGTAAGCATTAGTTAAAATTATTGAAATGCAATGAAAATGTGATTTTTTTTTTCCTAAGAGGCATAAGGTAACTCATATATTTGGTAACCAGTGCATCTATTTGCTTCTCTGTCTCCCCAAGTTTGCCTCTTAAACTCTAGGACACTGCCACTTACCAATTTGTTGCTCTGTAAAGGTTGTCAAGACTTAAGTTCTAAGAAAAATTTTTTCATCAGTTTGTTTAATTTGCAGAAAAACATTAGTACATTATTGAACATATAGAATAGTCTAAGATTTAGGAATTTGAGCCCCTAGTACATTGCATTGAATTGCATCATGTACAGAATTTTAAATATATTTAAGTTGAAAGAGAAGAGGAAGTCCATAAGAAACAACGTATGTTATCTGTTGCTGTCCAATGTAAATCTCACATACAGTCTTTCATTTCATTCCTAACAGTAAACATCTGTTATTCTTTTAAAATTAAGACTAGTTTGCTTGTTACATGCCAAAACATTTGCATTTAATTATATATGTCTTTTAGCATATGATGACTTACCTCCCTGATGGAAAGTCATCATATGTTTAGGTGTTTTAAAAAATAGAAGCATGCTTTAGAATTATAGCTATTTTCTTTGTTTGTACCAAATAAGGACACAAGGGAATAATTTTTAAGATTGATGAGTGGGGTTTTTTTTTGTTAATCTTGTGGGTTTTAATAATCATGTCCCCAAACATCTGGAATAATGCCAGAAATGAACTTTGGAAAGAGGAAGCACATATAAGTTAAGTTTATTAGAAATGTAGGTACTCACTAGTAGCAGTCAACAGCACTAACCTTGCTTTGAAGATTAACAGTATCATTATCCTTTACATATTCCCCCTTGAGTATTATGCTTTACAAACATGCAAATGTTGTCTCATTTAATCTTCATAACCCTCTGAGACAGTTAACATTTCAACCTCTATTTTACAGATGAGGAAATTCAGTGTTAAAAATTTTAGGTAACTTGCTCAAGGTAATACTGATGGTGGAGTTGAAATTTGAACTAAGTCTAACTTCAGGGACAGTGTTCTTTTTTTTTATATATACATATATATATTTTTTATTGATTTTTCACAGAGAGGAAGAGAGAGGGATAGAGAATTAGAAACATCAATGAGAGAGAATCATCGATCAGCTGCCTCTTGCACACCCCCCACTGGGGATGTGCCCGCAACCAAGATACATGCCCTTCACCGGAATTGAACCCGGGACCTTTCAGTCCGTAGGCCGATGCTCTATCCACTGAGCCAAACCGGTCCCAGCAGGGACAGTGTTCTTAATCACTATGTCACACTGTCTCACTCAAACATTGTGCTTCAGGGAATTGAAAAAATAAAAAGCTGTGTGTGTGTGTGTGTGTGTGTGTGTGTGTGTGTGTGTGTATGCCAGATTTATCAGATTTATTGTGTACAGTCATCTTGAAAACCATTTTCAGGAAATAGATTGATGCCTGGTAGAACTCCAGGCTTCAATGAGACCTAGTTGGGGTCTCACAGCCTGGAAAGTAGATTGCATTTCAGCTCATCTCAGATCTTCTGTGATGCACATCACAGGTACTAGAGAGATCAGAGATTAAACTGGGGAGTCTGGAATCACTTAAAGGAGGCATATAATCAGCTGGTGCTTACTATATTGTAGAAACACAGTCTCTATTGCAGAAAATGACCACATATGCCAAAATCTTCCTACAGGAGTGGCTCAAGTGTTAAATAGACTTGATGGAAAGCCTTTTGATGATGCAGATCAACGACTTTTTGAGGTAAGAAAATAAAGCAAGAATTATAGCTGAGACACCAATAGTCTCTTGGTTGCAGCTTGCCCAGAATTGTAAGGATAAATAATCATTAATTATCTTTGTATGAAAACAGTATGACAGAATTTAAAGAAAGATTTAAAGACTAAATAGATGCTTAGGTAGTGTTTGATTCTATTTTTTTCACTAATTAGATGATTGTGTGACCATTGATTAATTTATCCTCTTTTTTTTTTTACAGAACTGAGTCCGCCATTCTCTATTCAAAGTGTTAATTACCTTATCTTTGTCTTGTTTTGGTGTGTTCAGGGCTGTGAGACCCCACCTCTCTTTATTACAAGCTTCCTTTGACTCCAGTCTGCCCTTTAGCTAGGGAGGTTGGCTTTGAATAGGCTTCCTTATAGATTCCGTACTAGTGACCAACATGAAAACTCCATGATAATTTTGTTTTTTTAGCTGAGAATACTTCACAGCTTCTTTACTAACTGGTTTCATATCAATCCTCCTTCCTCTTAACACTTAACGGTGGGTATACTCACTTGATTTCTTTACCAAAATATTTTATAGGCTAGATACTGAAAGAGGTTGTTTTGGGTCAGTTGGAATGGAATGACTAACATCAGTCCACAGCCTAAACAAAGAACACATTTAAACAGACTGTAAGCATGTTTTGAAATGCATGAAGTCATTTCTTCTCAATGACAGTAAACTAACATTTTCTCTGATGCACATTGTGAGCCATAAAGCTGTTACACGACAATAGTAATTATGAATTTTAATGTGTATATTTCCCCAAGGCCTAACTCTGTGTACTATAAAATTATATTTTCAGGCCCATCGCTGATAACTGCCTGCTTTTATATTAGATTATTTCAATGAGTTATTGCAATTTTTAATTAGTGGGCTTTCTCTTCCTTAGGCTTTTGTCATCTTTTGTGGCCTGGGCATCAACAACACAATTATGTACGATCAAGTGAAGAAGTCCTGGGCCAAGCAGTCTGTGGCTCTTGATGTAAGTAAAGTATATGTCAGAATTGTATGCTTAAAAGTCCTAATTTTATGAGGGGAAAAATCATTGTTAATTTCTCAATTTTTAATGATCTATTCATTGGGTCTTACTCATATTAGAGTCATGGATATGAATTTGGTGAAAGCTAGAGACCCTCTCTAGAAAAATGTATACATGAACACAATTTTATATATAATTTCAGGGAGTTCACAGATTCTTTGAGGCCTATCCATATATGTTGTATGGTTAAATAATAAATTTTAAATATTAGGTTCATTAGAAGTGATGACTCAAAAATAATTTCTCAGGATTTTAAGTGTATTATGAACTTATTTTGAACACATATAGATATTCCAAAAATTCACAACTAAAAGAACAATTCTCTTTTTAAAATTTTTTAAATTGATTTTAGAGAGGAATGAGAGGGAGAAAAAGATAGAAACGTCAATGATGAGAAAGAATCATTGAACAACTGCCTTCTGTATCCCCCATACTGGGGATCAAGCCTGAAATCTGGGCATATGTCCTGATGGGAATTGAACTGTGGCCTTCTGGTTCTTAGGTCAATGCTCAACCACTGAGCCAAGCATGCCAGGCTAAAAGAACAATTTAAAAAAAAAAACTTTATTGTTGAAGTATTACATAGGTCCTCCTTTTTCTCCCATTATTCTCTTGCAGCCTACTCCTATCCCCCACCCCCAGGTCTTCACTACTCCATTATCTGTGCCCATGGGTTATGCATACAAATTTATTGGTTTATATCTTCCCACCCACCCTTCCCTGCCATCCCCATGAAGTTCAATAGTCTGTTCCTGCTTATCTCCTCTGAATCCCAGCTTGTTTTGACCCAAGACCTATTTTCTTCTTGCTCTGTAGCTATATCAAAGACTTTGTTTATATCTATGAAATACTTATTAAGTAAGGCAGATAAAATGTCAGTGTCAAGATAACACTTTATAGAGCAATCTATATACTATATAAAAGTGTAAGTGACCATTTGACTAGTAGCTATGATGTGCACTGACCACCAGGGGGCAGACATTTTGACCAGTAGTTAGCTTTCTGCTGGGATCTGGTCAATCAGGACTAGGCAAGAGGGGTTGGACACACCCCTCCCTGACTCTGATTGTGCACTGATGGGGTCCCTTGGCCTGGCCTGGGCCCTCTTGTAATCTGGGACCCCTTGGGGGATGTTGGAGAGTGGGTTTTGGCCTGATACCTGAAGGCCAGGCTGAGGGACCCCACCATTGCATGAATTTGTGCACCAAGCCTCTATTATAATACAATACACACCTAATTGTCAAAACATTCCATGTACCAAGTAAGATGTTACTAGAAAAAGAAAACCAAAGGGGAGGATAAGTCAGCAAATCAGTGCTACCTGCAGTACTTTGAGGTTTACAAGACATAAAATTATAGTTATTTATTTACATACTTTTTTCTCCTATCTAAACTGTGAATTCTAGAAGCACAGTTATTTTTATTGTTTTTGCAATCTTATTCCCAATGCCTAATAGGGTGCCTAACACAGAGGAAGTATTTTTTAGGTTTTTTGTTTTATGTTATTTTTTTTAAAATTTTTACTTTTATTGAGTGGTTTTTGAATGGAGGGAGGGAAGGAGAGAATGAAGGAAGGTATTTTTTTGCTCTTTCTCTGAGCTAGTTTAGCTTTGTTATATGTAACATCTTTGCAATAAGGAATACAAACAATATATAGAGAGTGAATTAATATATAGTGAACTGTAAACATGCAACCCATCAGTAAAAATCACTACTAGAGTGTTAATGTCTGTGTACAGAACTATTTTCAAATCCTCGCTCTGTCACGTACCTCAGTTGGGAGTATTAAGTGAAATGATGCATGTGAATATTTTAATACTCAATATAATCACATAAGTAGCAATAATGCTACATTATCACTTGTAAAAGAATATTTATTACTGAGAAATCATCATGTATTGGAAGTAAGAGCAAAGGACAAAAATTCGGAACGGCAAATATTGAGCCATGTCTCTTTCACCATCATCACATTCTGATCTGCAGAGTTGCCTCACCCATTGTTTCTTAGTTTCTGCAACTATAAAAAGGAGGACATACAATATACTAGTCCCACTGAAACCTACTTCCTATTGTCATGGTATAATTTACACACACATACACAGAACCATAGAACACCTTAAATCTCTTCATATTCTTATTCCTTACCTCCTTCATAGTAGATCTTCCTCCTGTTGAGAAGGGATTAAAAGAACTGGGTTGAAGCACAAATGGTTGTTTGCCAATGAAAGTCAGCATTCTCACTGACACTACTTTCTAATCCACAGATTCTGTCACCTAGAAAGTGCTAATATTGTTACAGTCTATTCACGCATGAATTGCTTGCTTATTTGGGTTCATAGTGAAACCCTCTTGTTTGTGTAACTCAGATACATTCTGTCTTTAGACACAGAAATTATTACTGACACTCCCAAATTTCCAGCACAACTCTGAGCTTTATGACAATCTCACCCTTTCAGAAGTTGACTTATATGTGTAGACTTATATGTTTTGTGTGCATTATTTTGTGCCATTGTCAAAAGTGGCATTCCCAGTCAGAATTCTGTTGTTTCCATCTTGGTTTTATCCCTCCCACCTCCACTCAATCCCTATCTCACCAGATACCAAATTCTTGACTCTATTGATCAGGTGGCACAGACCCCTTCTATAGCCCAGGAATCCATATAGAAGAATAGCTAGAAGGATTTCTTTTTCTTCCTTTCTTCCTTCCTTCCTTCCTTCCTTCCTTCCTTCCTTCCTTCCTTCCTTCCTTCCTTCCTTCCTTCCTCCCTTCCTTCCTCCCTCCCTCCCTCCCTCCCTTCCTCCCTCTCTCCCTCCCTCCCTCCCTCCTTTCTTCCTCCCTCCCTCCTTCCTTCCTTCCTCCCTCCCTCCCTCCCTCCCTCCCTCCCTCCTCCTCCCTTCCTTCCTTCCTTCCTTCCTTCCTTCCTTCCTTCCTTCCTTCCTTCCTTTCTTCCTTCCTTCCTTCCTTCGTTCCTTCTCTCCTGACTAGGGGTGAGGAGCCAACCTGCAACCCAGGTGTCCTTGATCAGGAATTGAACCTGTGATCCTTATGTTACCAGGCCGATGTTCTAATTACTGAGCCATACCAACCAGGGTGATGCTTTTCTTAATTTTTCATAATTTAGTTCTTTGCTAAAATCCTTTCTTCTTTTTTAAAAAATATTTTTTTAGATTTTTATTGATTTCAGAGAGGAAGGGAGAAGGAGAGAGAGATAGATAGAAGCATCAATGATGAGAGAGAATCATTGATTGGCCACCTCTTGTACCCACTGGGAATCAAGCCCACAACACGGGCATGTGCCCTTGACTGGAATCAAACCTGGGATTTGATTCCAGTTCACAGGCCGATGCTCTATCCTCTGGACCAAACCAGCCAGGCCAAATCCTTCCTTCTGATTTTACAAAATTAGTACTCTAAGTCTCATAGAGAGTAGAGATGTTCTTAAAGCTAAATACTGGAACAAAGAGGATTTTATTATCATTTTTAATGGCATTAATTTTATGATGACAATTTCCAATCTATGTGATCAACCAAGAGCTTTAACAAGAAATGTACTAATTTATGTTCACATTTTCTGAAAGTAAGGATTGAAGATAAAAGGGGGAGAACTTTACCTGTAAGTCCAGAGTACAGAGAAAATATAGTACAAGTGTAGATGTGGAATATTATTTCTTCATTTTGAACATCAAGGATTGTCCTTTGGGGTGTCTTTCATAGATATTGCAAATGAAGCTTTACCTAATACTGATGAGAAATTTTCCAGAAAATATGTTAGTGTGTTAAGGGACACATTATACACCTTTATGATCAGAAAAGGAAAGGAATGCGGGTCAGTCAGAGGGTACAGAAAGGGCATATGCAATCAAGAGCCAAGCCCCATTTATTCTACCTCCCCCAAGCCTCTCCTGTCCATTTTCTCCTCTCCGATTGCCACAGCAATCATCCTACTTAAGGGCTTCATTGCCTCTTGACTGAGCAATGTTAATAGCCTTCTATTCTTCCTAAACCATAATTCAGATTGCATCACTCAGGCTCTCATAGACCTTAAATTACTCCCCCATTACTATCATATCACAAAGTTCCTGGCCTTTGGGGCCCATAGAAATATCATACCAAACTTTCTTCCGACCCTGGCTTTCATTGCTCTTTTCAGAGTATTCTATGCTACTTACAAACCCAGATACTTCTTAGTCTACAAATCGGTGCTTCTCTGCCATCTGAGCTTCACTCTAACACCCTCTCCATTTTAGTTATCTCTATCTTAATCATAGCATCTCCTGTCAGAAGTATCCCATCATTCAAAGCTTGATTTAAAAGTTATCTTCTCCCTAAAGCTTTTAACTTCATGTTTATTCATTCCTCTCTGGACCTTATAGTATATTTAATTGTGAATCTGTATGTTTTCCTCTGCTGTAACATATGTTTATTAAAGTATGTGATCATATTTCATAGATATTTTAAATATCACGATACTCAGTAAAAGTGAACAAATGAATACATGCAGCCACAAATAATTACTTTGGTCTGTCATGTCAATATTCCAAAAGGAAGAAGCTTGGGCTGTGCTGGAGGAGCTGGCAGCCACTCTGGCTGGCCACGGACTTGCGTAGTATTACTTCTGTGTCCCCTTCCTACTTTATGTGCCATGAGTACAAAGTTTTGTATGTATGTATGTATGTATGTATGTATGTATGTATGTATGTATTTTGGGAGGGACCTCTTCTCAGGTACCATGTTCCTGATGTATTTCCTTGAATGGTGAGTAAGGGGTCAACCTGGCTTCCTAATGGAAGAGGAAGAGAAGTTAATGAGATGATTCTCCCATGAGGAATCTCCTAAGCTCCAAAGGGAGAATCTTTTCTAACTGGATGATTAAAAGAGCTAGACTTTTCCCTCTTCCTTTCAAAACCTACTCTGTTGAATCATTCTTCCCCACTCTTAGATG